AACGTGTATAAGGTGTTCCGCGACTTGAGGCCCAGCAATTTTTCGGGGAGGGAAGATCCATTCTATCTCGCAACAAACACTAGAGGGTGTCCCAAATCTGGCAAATCTTGGTTCAAAAGGCAGCCAGTTGGGGAAAACAAGCTTGGTGCACTAACGAAAAACATGACTTCCAAAGCCAACCTTTCATCCGACAAACCAGTTGGTAGGGTAATCACAACGCTAGGAAACACATGATACAATCACTGTCCAGGAAGGGCGTTCCAGCCCACCAATGCAAGTGTCTGGGCACAAAACACAAAAATATGCATTCTATAAACACATATTCACGAAACGCCGTGGTATCTCCAACATTTTGTGCAAAATCAGTGCACGCAGTGTCCCCGTCAAACCACTTTCGGATTCTGCTAGGCCTATATGTCAATCAGTGGCATCCGAATCGTTGAACGATCTTCCAATTCGCATATTGTTCCTGTATCCGACTCGGTACAAAAATCCGCAACGACGGACATGATCCACTGCCTGTTTTCTGGCCCGATCTATGGCGGCGTATTCAACGTAAATATGTGCAAGCCTGCTGAGTCGGACGATGTATCCAATGCCCCCAAACGTCGGCGCATAGGCGACATATCTTCGGACTCTTGCGCCAGTGTGCTTGATTTATGGACATTTACGTTTAACTTTCGTGAAAATGCTCAATAAACACTTTGGCCGAGATCTATAAGTTTTAGGTCAAGGCCACGTCACATTCCAATGTTCCTGTTTGAAATATTTACTGTTGTTTTAAAATGTAAGGCATATGCTCGCTTGAAAGAGTCTGTTAAATAAACCATACTTGTTGTAGAATCAGTTTACACAGTTTGATGTTGTTGAGCATGTGCAGACGGACAAAGGTTTTGGTTATCTTTTCGTAGTCACGAGAGCTGGTGACTTTGAGGCGACTGACGGCCATGTCGACCGAGAGAAACTGGCAAACAGTTTGAACTTCACGTGTTTAAATTTTGTATAAACAATAATGCCAAGTCACTTTTTATTCATTGTTGTACTATTAAACATGAATCAAACTGTATATTTTTCGCCAAAATTTATTACAATGCTTATATTAAATTGTCGAAGAATTAATACCGCTCAAACTAACTATTTCGTATTAGCGGAATCTTAGTGTTGAGTGTAGACTGTGTGTGATCAGGTATGAATATTATGAAATACGGCTTCGCCTCTGTTATAAGAGTAAACTGTTTCTTGTCTTTTTAGCTTCTTATTTTAAAACGTGACGATGGGTAAGAAAACAATAATTTACGAGTGACGAGGAATGACTGATTATCTGTCCCTCGTGAAGGCTCGGGACTTACAATTTTAATTCACTCGGGACAGATAATGCTAAATTCCTCGTCACTCGTAACTTATTGTCCATATCTTCGCACTTGGTTATCATTCCAAAGTCTTGAAACATCTCAAAATGTAACTAACGGGATCGGGTGGCCAGACTCGCTGATTTGGTTGATGCATGTCATCGTATCCTGCTTGATAGATGATCATAATGCCAAACATTGGATTGTCTGGTCCAGACTCGATCATTTACGGACTGCCATCGAATAGTGCTGAGTGTGGCGTTAAACAACAACAACAACAACAAAAAACCCACAACACAAAACAGAAAAGCCAACTGACAGCTGTGATAATATTTCAAACAAAGACATGAGACTGCAACATGAGACTTCATAGTGCTTTCAAAACGCTGAATTTGAAATAAGATGACACGTAAAGCAAATATTTAATGTTTCAAACGTTGTTTGACTACCCCGAAGGAGATGCACTGTATGTGACGTCATCCCCAGCGGTTCAACTCACGTCTGCAATCTCAGACGTGATCACGAGAGGAAGCTATGCTCCTTTAAATAAACTCCTTTCCAAAATGAGTCCTCTTCCAATGATTAATGTTTCCTGCTGTGAGGTAATCCTTGCCACTAATCCTATCTCATAGATTCCTGACAAGGGATTATTTAAACATACGTTTAATATATATGATAGGTTGTGGCAGCAGATCCAAGTCACATATGATTTTTTACATGTCAGGCGGTATGGAGGTTTTCAGCCTCGTCTGCTGTCCCTGTAAGATAAGAGAGCACGGACCGCAACACGTGTCTAACCCGTAAAGATTTGCCAACTTAGACACGTCTGCAGGTATAATTCCCCCTGGGGGTGGTGTCAATCTGCCTCAAATGTTATGTCACAGTCTGCTATTCAGGCGGTGATCCGCTATTTTTGACGGATAGAAGAAATGTCAGATGACCTACATGTGTTCACCGACGAAAGATTGAAATTCTTTCTCATACAACATAAAATGCGATCGAAGTTAATGTTTCATGACTATTTTAAAAGGTTGGTTCTGCAAAATCGTGTTCGTCTTGATCATCTGTTTAAGCGTGGCATGTTAAGTCAACAAGGTTGAAAATCAGTTTGTAATAATGCATAGTGCATGCTGATGTGGTGGTGGCCGTATCAAATATTTGCCTAGCTTGTTATTTTAAACAAGTCAGTGAAGTACAAACAGACACTCATGACTCATGACTCATGATATCATTCTTGGAACAACAAAAGTTAAAAACTGTCCTGCTTCAACAATATTCAACAAAGGCCAATGTTTGTTTTTGGTTATTTTGCACTTCTACGCCATCTGAAAGTAAAATAACGATCTATAATACATGTAATCATGGCTGTCCCTCCAGAGTAAAAGTTCTTCTAAGAAGGATGGTGGACCATGTGAAAGTGTACAAATACATAGGATCACAGTGACTTGTAGCCGTGTACATATACTGATAGTGCTACTCCTACTGATATATCTAGTACTATGTATGTAGTATATTCATATTGCAAAAGATAATAAATTGAGAAAGAAATTAAAACCCCATGTAATGGCAACGCGATAATTTTAAGGGTAAAAATTTATACTTGGTATCAATGAACTTACATACAATTTAATCGTTGATGGAAAAAAATATAACTGGTGATGAGAACGATACATACACAACACAAAACACTCTTGCGATATTTACTCATTCTTTTGATGTAGTCATGTTGTCCTCTTCGTTAACAACCTGGACAACTTGACTTGGTCACTTGGTTACGTGCAGAAACGTCTTTGGAAATATGTGTGCGTCTGTGCGTGTGTGATCAGTTCAGTACTTCGTGTGGACATTTATTCTTTGCGGTCATCACTCCTAATTATATGTATTTTTACTTCTCAGTTTAAGTCGGTACTCGAATTCGGCCTTGGTGAGGTTATCAGTTAGGCTTTATTAATATTGCAACAAGAGCAGACACTTCAAAAACTCATTACATGGTTGAACCATGTTTATTCGGACCTTTTCCTGTTTCTACACCAGGCGTCGTGTGACATCTGAATCATAAAAATGCATAGAGTAAGCGAGGGAATTCATCCACGTTTGGGTTTTAAACCGAAGGAAGAGACACTAGGGGTTGGACCGGGCGTCTTGTCTACTGGTAAACTATCCACTGTCATGTATTCAGGATGAATAACGCAGTTGGTAAATTTATTTGTCGAACAGCATAAAACACATACAACGTACCATGACAGTCACGCAACGTGACCACTCATGGTGATCGCCAATAATGACGATTGCTGCAAGAGGGAGAGCTCTTGAAATGATCTATAATATTATGTTCTTTGCCAACGGATCACGTAGAGTATCCGATATTTGATATATTTAGGAAGTATGCCACATACTGAATCCTACTTGAGACAAGGTGTCACAGCGGTCGGCGTGAAACATTATACAGTATCGTGTTTAACACACAGTGCCATCTGTGTTAATGTCTGTCTGAATAAGGAACTAAGTTCGAAGTAACATTTCTGTAACTGGTTCAAACAACTTTACACACAGAAAACCCAGAGAGAAATTCTGAAGTCTACAGAAAATACGTAATTCACAAAGTTTAAGAAATCAATGTTAACGGCGGAACCGTACATGGGAAACCTACCTTCTAAAACTCTTGTTTTGAACAATAAAACACATTTTTACTGCTACAATGAATTCCCACAAGACATAAATGCTCCATAAATGTTGGAGGTGTTTTACCATAAACACTCAAAGACGAATTTTCTTTCGTTACTGGGTGTCTATTGACCCATATATCGCCACCATCGGTCTTAATGATATAAAATTGTGATACGATGTCTCGGAAGTACAGTTTGGATGAACATTGTCCGCATGTTGTATGATGTATTGTTCTCGATCAGCGCCTATAAATACTGTGTTAATGGTGTTTTTCTTTGAAGCTGAATTTGATATAGAATCTTGACATTGGTAACTGGCACTTTTAGGGACTGGGCAAACACATGTAAGTAAGCACTTTGGTCCAACCATTGACATAATTACACGGCAAATGGGAGGGTTTCCATTTTACACAAGATATTGCCAATTCAAGAGAGAAACATATTTGATAGATCGAAACGAATTGAACTAAGAAATATTTATTAATCACAATACAGTAATAGTTACAGAAACATACACGTGCAGGAAGTATTGTGAGTGAGTGAACAATATTCCAGTTATATCACTTCGTGTCATCTAAATGTGGGGGAAAAGCCCGAGGTGATGCAGGTCTTAGGCGTTTAACACTTTGGTGAAACCCACGTGCACGGGTATGGTGCTTACAAACCTAGAAAATAATCAGGGCGAATCTGGATTCGAACCATCGATCATAGGTTTCTGCCATGCTAAGGGCCACAGCTCTCAGACAAAGAGGCCACCTATGCCCCCTTGAAGTGTTAAGGACTACACAGATCTCAGGTCGCCCCGAACTGACTGACCATTCCTGTGCAAAAGACTTTCATGTCATGTAACGACCTTACTCACTCACCCTACAGATAATTTTACATATGTGACCAATTACAAATCCCGTATTTGTTAGTGTAACATGCGTTTTCATAGCGTCAACGGACTTTCCTTGCAGATAACTAACTTGCAAGTGTATTTCAGAGGCGGCAGTCACACATCACATGAAAGAACGCCAATGGTCCGCCAGACAAGCGGGTGTGTTGCTCCCATATACAGACATCCCAACCAGGTGTTTAAAGAACCAAGGGAAAAGAAGTCGCGACTGGATGAAGATAAATGTAAAGTTAGTGCCGTTTTCTCAATGCACATTTCTTATTCAATATTCCAAAGCAATAATCCATTTTCAGACCTTCAGAAAACCACTTTATCTGTGGGCAGTGGTGACATCCTCGTTCTTGTGTGGAAGTGTTTACAATAGTCGGTAATGGCATACAAATGCTGTAAATATGCACAATCGTGTTTTATGAAAGGACATTTGGGTGTGTTTACTCCACACTCTGATATATGTTATTGGCAAGTTCGGGCGCTTTATCTCCTGTTGTAAAAAAACCTTAAACAGATGCTCAAGAAATATTCGGTAACGTTGCAACTTTTACGTAGTTCAACAAGTATCTAGTGAAATGTTCTGCTGGAGGAAGTCCCTTGTTGCTCTCCCAGTGTGGGCACGGGCGTTGTCATGCTGAAACTCATGGTTGCGGCGACCTGCCAGATGTGGTATGGCGTGTGGTCTCAAGACTTGGTCAATGTACCGAGCTGCTGTGACACCATTGCCTCACCCTGGACCGATGTTCTGGAAGACCACAGAGTCAACCCTCTGGACAAGACCAATTCCACCCAACACCATTATGCTCGGACCACCCCACGAGTCTTTCTCAACAACACAAGCATCCGAATAACGTTCCCCACGGCGTCGCAAGACTCTCTCTCTGCCATCTGCTGTTCAGATACAGTAACGGCTCTCGTCTGAGAAGAGAACTCTTCTCCACTGCTGGTGCTGTGTTGCCCACTGAAGACGGCCCCGGCGATGGTGGTGTCAGTATGGGTCCTCGATGTGGCCTGCGACAGTGGAGGTGTCTGGTCGTCAATCGTCGACGCACGGTGTCCGCACTAATGTGTCGCTGGTGTGTCCCCATGGTCTGTCGAGCAATTTCCGCAGCAGTAACAAAGCGATCTTGCAGATGCTGTAGCACGATCTGACGATCCTGACGTCGGACCGTGACCCTTGGTATTCCACTACGTGGTCGGTCATCTGTAGTGTTGTTGTCTGGTACAGTTGCTGGAGCCTATATATGGTCCTTACGTGGACTTGAAAAACATTGGCTACTTGCCGGGCGGTTTGTTCAGCTTGCAATCGTCGAAGGGCTTGGTGTCGCTGATTTCTTGTCAATCTTGGCATGTGGTAGCAGTTCAATGACGAATGAATGTTATCCAATCTGGATGGATCTTTATAGGGCAAGAAATGGGGGAACGCATGTGCATTTCAATTTGCACGGAACTCACGTGTATCGGGTTACCGTGATGCAATTGGGCGATCGGTTTTATTGTCATCTGCTTTGTTTTTTTATCATCAAATGTCATTCTTCCGGACAAGATAATGTTAAATGTAAGAAACTTGAAGAAAAATTACCCAGATATTTAAATGATAACTTTTCATGCAATGTTACTTGGGGTGACGTTTCTTTTGCGGTTCAGTATATATTCGAGTTAAACATCAAACTATTATTGCGATGCCACCATAAGAGTTCTGAAGGCTGGACTAGTAGTAAGCTTGTGTTGCGGGATGAGTATCTTGAGGATGTTTCGTTACGAACTGGATCTCAGTTCAGAGGAATCGTGAATCCTCAACTTCAAGGAGCCTGTTTACTTACCATATCTCACGTGTCAGAAGCTGTCTGTTTAAGCTTTCAAAGAGTACGTAATGTGTTAATGCAACAAATATTGGCTTCCTGTCCGGGAGATCTAATCTGACTGGTTCTTCTTCATTTAACCCCAGAGACTTTGATTGGATGTCGGTCTAGATCGACATTCTCGCTCCTTAAATCGTATGCCAATTTCACTGAAAACGCAGCTGATGCTTATTTCGTGATTCAACCTAAAGTTGATGACTTGTTAGAAGTGAGAGTGAGGTAGTTGTTGTCGGATCAAGTTGTCATGCAAGAGACATGAAGGTTTCCGGTCTAACTTTATGAGAATAGTGCAGACTCTTAGAGTCAGTATAGGATAGCTGATAGAAGTCTGGCCGTTAATCTTCCATTGATTGCAACGGACAATTCAAGGACGTTGATGCAAATGCATGACTTGTCGCGACTTCTTCTTGAAAATCACTACCTCATTACTCGGCCAAACTAGAGCAAATCAATTACTTTATGTGGCGTAATCTGGAATTACCTGGAGGACAAGTAGTCATGTTTAGAAAAATTCTGCCTCTTTTTGTCACGGAATAATTATCATCATTAACGGTTTTGAAGTATTTTATTATGCGCCTTAAACCATAAGTTTGTCAAGAATAATGATCAAAAGGGGGTTTAATCCTTCAAAATTAGATGGATTATTGTATTTTGCAATGGAAAAATGCATAATGAGAAATGCTAGGTCTGCCATGTATCCTTTACTTTCGAGGTTATCAGATCTGAAATTAAAGCAGTGGTCGGTTGAATCATCTATAAAGACGATTGTAATTCCACAAAAGGGGCGGATGTAAATCAGTCGTCTTTTTGTTTTGAGTTATTTTGTAATTGCAGCGGTTATATGACTGTAAAACGAAATTATTTTAAAACAAATGAATAAGATTCATAAATGTTGTTTCAGGTTTCTTGTCCATGTACTGATCTACTGTCTCAAATACAAAATGAGATTTACTTGACAAGTTAACATGAATATTATTAAACGTTATCTAAATTTTATATATGATGTAATACTTTACAAAGTTCAATTGTCTCTGCACACTTTTTCAAAACATGTGGCTCAATGACATGGTCGGGTAAGACGTCCCAACTCGTAGTACACATTTGCGTCGTTTGCGTGCAAGAATCCCTTGAGTTGGTTGAGTACCAGCTTCGACCTGATAATGATTTTTGCCCGAACTCGTGGGTTTCTCCAAGTGATATTGTTTTCATGTCAATAGATACATCATGTTTTAATAAAAGGGTGTATTTAATTATATTTAATTACATATCATTGTTTAAAAAAACAAAGGCTATACCGCGAGGATGCAAGCAGTAATAATAATTTTTAATAGTCACCATGTTTAAGATACTTCTTGAAACCCGTTAAGAGTTAGCTATGTAGGTAACATAGATCAGACCATATAAAAAGAAAAGATTTCCTTTTTTTATTTTTTCCCCCAAGACTTTTTCAACCAGATAAATGTGTTATACTTTTGGTGAAAGAGATTAGTGTTAATATTAGAAGTACAGATATATCATGAAATTATAATATGTTTAATTAATTTAGAGGTTTTGTCAATGATGGCCAATAGTATCAGGATTTTATCAGATTTAAATTCATTAGGTAAAATATTATTGAGAAAGTTGTGTCCAAAATAAATTTACATAGTGGCATTCCACATAAACCTGCATTTGTCCAAGTTGGTATACCTATAAAACCTGCTGACACGCCGTGGTATAATTGTGATACCGTTCAAAGCGGGCTTATGACACCCGCTTGTGTAACAATATGTAGTTCACCACTCAACTAAAAATAGCGGTTAAATCGAAAAAATAGTAACCCAGAAAGCAAGAGAGGTGTACGAAATATGACTTTGTGATATATTCCTCACATGGCTCACACACTCACTCAATGTTGTCCACTCAACTTAGAGAACGCTACCGAAACAACCATTACCAATGGACCTTAATACTTTGTTTAATTATGTTTGAATTTGAACATTTGATTCTCCATCGTCATGACATTGTTGTTTGTGTTTCAGGTGATTCAGATGTTGATTGTCGTGGTTGTGCTGTTTATCATCTGCTGGGGGCCTATCCTAATCAACAATCTCCTGGTATCCACGGGGGTACTGCCCCAGCTCCACATCGGCTACCTCAAACCTATGAGGCAGGCCTTCTTCCTCATGTCGTATATGAACAGCTGCACCAACCCTGTGGTGTATGGTTTCATGTCGAAGAACTTCAGAAAGAGTTTCAAACATGCCATACTGTGTTGCTTCCGAACAAGGAACAGAAAGAGGGAGTTCGAGCATTCCTTTGCCACCAGAACCACCATGGTGGACAACTGTAGCCATCAACTTGACAAGATCGAGGCTGGGAGTTACAGATCTACTCCAGCAACGCAGTATAGACATCTTCAGCCACAGACGAGTCACAGGTTCAACACCAGGATATAACACATAGTCAGCTTCTATACAGGGCATTGTTTGTTCACATACTCGGACTCGTGTATAATGGGTTAAAAAACTGTTCCTACTTCTGTCAGAAAAAACGGTTGAAGTGTTTTACAACAGACTCGCTTGAGCCCTTTCTGTGTTATGCTTGTGAATATAATTCTGCATGTACAAAGGTGATAGTAAAACGACCCTAGCGTTGTGATATGTGCATTAGATTCATAAATTTTACCTAGTAATATGTATCATTACTTTACTGTGTAAAGTACATTTTGAGAAATGAAAGTATGTTAGAAATAAAAAATAATATGCAAAATGTTGTCCCTGACATTGAATTGACGGCAAAAATTATCAATCTTACGATTGAATTGATAATATTGTTTTGTTTTGGTGAGCTAAGAAAATCACGACTGCTGTGATAAAAAGAATTTTTTTTTTCTCCAAAATGTACACTTTGTGAATTTTAAAAGCAATCAACATGTGCGGAAAAATATGCACCTTGCGTCCATAGAGATTCTGGTCCAGACAAACCTGTAATTGATATTATGAGCAACTATCCACGCCGCCGGGGTACGATGAATCGTAATTAACCATTTCAAAGATCCTTACCGCGCCAACCTGTTAGTCGCCTCTTGCGACCAGCACGTGACAAATTCTAACCCATATTCCCATGAGACACGTGTAATTCGAATACCTTATAATTACGTGTAATAAATCAATAAGCGATATAACAAATATAAAACTGTTATAAACGTCGGCAAAACCTTTTCAAATTTCTGCTAAAAGTCGATTGTACGATTCCGACTATGTCATGAGCGGGTATTTATGAATCACTACCAAATTGGGATGATACCAGGTGTTCGCGAAAAGATGAGCGTATCCTACCCAACCGGTGGTACCCGCCACAAACTCATACAAAGGCAAGTAACCTGAGATAAACCCCGGAGACATATGGTAAATATTCATATTCCAAATAGAGAATTGAATTGGACTTAAATGTAATCACAGATCACTATCCGTATGGTACTCACAATTAAGGTATTGTGTGATTTATGCTGATCTAAGGTACATGTGCTATGTAATCTGAACAGAACAGAACAGAACAGAGTTTATTCTCAAAAACACACAATAGTGGTATAGAGAACATACATTACGAAGTGTAAAACAATTGTACAACGAATGTAGCACAATACAAGCAGTTTGGAGTTAAAATATAATATGCATTATATATACATACATTATACAATTTATTCATCATATTTGCATACAATCTGCGTAAATAATTATATATTAAGGTACTATCTTAATATGTAGTGGCATGTAGATCACTCATTGTAGCAGTGCGAGTCCATTCTTTATATATTTACATAACTTTGTAAGAAGAGGTTTGAAATCACAATTCATTAAGTAGTTGTATTTATGGCGCAGTTGGATACTTACAAAAATAGTCTGGTAATAGGGTTGTTCTAAGGTTGAGTAATTCATTACAGCTTAATAAAAAATGAAATTCGTCGCCAACAGCGGCATTACATAGAGTACGGTATCTGTTTATACGTGGTATTCCGTGCCATCTTCCTATTTCTATCGGCAACTTTTGATTTTTTGTTCTAAAACGCGTTAGCCACATGCGTAGCGTTTGTGGGAGAATTAAAAGATATGGTTCTAAAGTGGGTTCGCTTTTGAATAGTTTATAATTATCTGCCTTAGAGGAATTTTGAATATAAGCTTGCCAAGATTGTTTATACTGATCTGTTAATACTATTTTCATTTGTTGTTTGACCCACTGGACATCTGGTACAGCTTGTGGTATCCACAAGTAATGCAGTCCAGTTTCTTGCAGGATTTGTTTTGGCATATTCAATAGAGGAAATTGTACCTTTTCAGAGGTAGATGACAGGGGTAACATTATTCAGTACATGATTTGTGGTAGCGTTTTTTTGGAAAGTATGATCTCAGGTACAGTGTGATTAAAGCTGATGTCACGTACTGTGTGATTAAAGCTAATCTAAGGTACTGTGTGATTATAGCTGATCTGAAGTACGGTGTGATTGAAGCTGATCTAAGGTATTGTGTGATTAAAGCTGGTCTAAGGTACGGTGTGATTACAGCTGATCTAAAGTACTGTGTGATTGAAGCTGATCAAAGGTATTGTGTGATTAAAGCTGATCTAAGGTACTGTGTGATTATGGCGGATCTAAAGTACTGTGTGATTGAAGCTGATCTAAGGTACTGTGTGATAAGAACTGATCTAAGGTACTGTGTGATAAGAGCTATTCTAAGGTACTGTATGATTAAAGCTGATCAAAGGTATTGTGTGATTAAAGCTGATCTAAGGTACTGTGTGATTATAGCGGATCTAAAGTACTGTGTGATTGAAGCTGATCTAAGGTACTGTGTGATAAGAACTGATCTAAGGTACTGTGTGATAAGAGCTATTCTAAGGTACTGTATGATTAAAGCTGATCAAAGGTATTGTCTGATTAAAGCTGATCTAAGGTACTGTGTGATTATAGCTGATCAAAGGTACTGTACATGTGTGATTATAGCTGATCTAAGGAAGTGTGTGATTATAGCGGATCTAAAGTACTGTATGATTTAAGCTGATCTAAGGTACTGTGTGATTAAAGTTGATCTCAGGTACTGCGTGATTATAGCTGATCTAAGGTACTGTGTGATAAGAGCTATTCTAAGGTAATGTGTGATTAAAGCTGATCTAAGGTACTGTGTGATTATAGCTGATCTTAGGTACTGTGTGATTATAGCTGATCTAAAGTACTGTGTGATTAAAGCTGATCTAAGGTACTGTGTGATTATAGCTGATCTAAGGTACTGTGTGATTATAGCTGATCTAAGGTACTGTATGATTATAGCTGATCTAAGGTACTGTGTGATTATAGCTGATCTAAAGTACTGTTGTGATTAAAGCTGATCTAAGGTACTGTGTGATTATAGCTGATCTAAGGTACTGTGTGATTATAGCTGATCTAAAGTACTGTGTGATTAAAGATGATCTTAAGTATTGTGTGATTAAAGATGATCTAAGGTACTGTGTGATTAAAGCTAATCTAAGGTACTGTGTGATATGAGCTGATCTAAAGTACGGTGTGATTGTAGCTGATTTAAGGTACAGTGTGATTAAAGCTGATCTAAGGTACTGTGTATTATAGCTGATCTAAGGTACTCTGTGATTGAAGCTAATCTAAGGTACTGTGTGATAAGAGCTCATCTCAGGTACTGTGTGACTGAAGCTGATCTGAGGTACTGTGTGATTATAGCTGATCTAAGGTACTGTGTGATTAAAGCTAAGCTAAGGTATTGTGTGATAAGAGCTCATCTCAGGTCCTGTATTACTGAAGCTGATCTAAGCTACTGTGGGACCTATTCTGATCTCAGGTACTTTGTGATTGAAGTTGACCTAAGGTTTTATGAGAGTCAAACTCAATGCAATCGTCATGACACTGACTTTCATGACGGTTTATTATATTATCTGTTTACGCTGTAACACTTGGGTAGTTAACTGTGATTTACGCGGTGTGCGGACGACACAGGTGCTATATATACATGTTCACTACGCGCCTCCGAGTAGGGACTCCGGCAAGAAGAAGTCACTTCGCGAGTAAGCCAGACGTGTCTTCAGAACCCAATAAAGAGGATCCAGAGTTCATTGTCGATGACTTGGCTGATTGGATGTTATCGCTCTTCCTTGACGTGGAGCCAACCTTTCAATCAGTTCGGCCGTAATACAGCTGGAATATTGCTGACTGCGGCGTTAAACCTCCATTCGCTCAATCGACTGCGGAAATGCTACATAATATATTCATTCATGAACGTTTGTGCTTGTGGATGGTTTAACAAGAAGAAATTCCTTGAAATATATATGCTATAACGTGGGATGAAGTTGATATCATCTATACAAAATTTAGGGGTAGGACTTTTAGGCAAAAATGAGTCCTCCCCATGAGCACCAAGTATGCTAACCCTTTTGCTGATCATTGTTTCCTAATGCATATTAATAGAAATTTCTGCTCAGATTGGCTTCATTTGGCCAAGAAGTTTAACTTAAGCTTCAGGTATATCGGTGATCTGATATCGTTCAATAACAATCAAATAGTCATTTCCCTTCCACTGATTTACGCACCTGAACTAGAAATAAAGGAGATCATCCAGAGACCGATTCATCTGTTTCATACTTAGATCTATGCATAAAGATTCAGTGTGACAAAACAATTTCTGCAAGACTGTATGACAAGAGGGGTTACTTCAACTTTCCAAAAGTCAACTTTTCCTTCATGTATAGCAATATCCCTGCAGCTCCAGTTCTTGGTGTCTACCTTTCACAGCTATTGAGGTACACTCGAGCATGCTCTTTCTACCAAGACTTCAAAGAGCGTCATATACTCTTGCTCAGAAGTTGTTGATCAACATTGATACAACATGCAAGGTCTCAGTATACCTTTCAAAAAGTTTAATGGTAGACACGTGGTAGACATTTCCAAATCTGACACATCAGTGACAAGAATTATGCCTGATGCAATTTCCTATTTTGACTTGTACCACATATTCCCGTGTTTTTTCAGGTAAACAATTGACTTGCCTTTGTGGGGAAGGACACGCTCATCCTTTCCTGTTTGATAGTGTTTCATAAACAGATGTTCTTGATATAGTTGGAACCTTACAATCGACTAGGCTTTTAGGAGAGATTCTTTTAATATGGAATGGGCTTTGTCTCTTTTAATTAAAAAGTTGATATGCCCAAGTTTCTGACAGATGAGGGTAAACAGTTGTTTCTTTCAAACTGAGGTGACTAAAATGGTTTGTATGACAGGCCGATACCTTATTATTTTACATTTTATGAATATATTTTGATTTGTGTTAGATATGTTTATTCCAAGATTGACTTCTATAAGTAAATTTGGGGTTGGGCCACGATAGCAACCATCTTTGCTGGGGAAACTACTACTACTACTACTACTTCTACTACTACTACTACTACTACTACTACTACTACTACTACTACTACTACTACTACTACTACTACTTTTCTGTAACCCGCTTTTCTGAGAGATAGAATACATCCTTTATACCCCGCTTCAAAGCCTTTTCCAAGCCAATGGATGTCAATCAATCGAGCAGCTGTAGTCTATCAATTTGGAATTTATTTGATTTATTTTACAATGTCATATTTAAACATGTCTGTAAAATAAATTCGTTGTAGCAGGATCAACCGGGGTACATGGGGTATAAAACCTAACGCGGGACGCACCCGAA